TGAAGACTAGAAGGGCGCAAGTCAACATTGGAGGAGTTGCTGGTATGAATAAGGTGGTAACCGGATTTCACAGAATAATTGTGGTTCAAGGGGCCAAATGACACGATCAGATTCACTTCCGTCACCCAAGGGGAGAGTCAAAATTTTTTCCAAATCACGATCAGAAATGGCATCACGAATGCTACTAAGGTTCCACTGCATAGAAATGGGGTTAATAATAGTAGAGACCATCATAGTATCATCTGTTGTGCTTCCATCAGTGGGACGGAGGATTGGATTGGCAACACAAGGGAGCCATTTGTCAGTCCAAAGGTGAACTCTACTACCATCAAGAATTTGCCAACGAGCTCCACGAAGGATGAGATCTCTTCCAGCAAGCAAGCTGGACCATGCCCAGGAAGCTCTGGCACCCTTGGGAGCCAGGAGAAAATCACAGTTAGGAAAGTACCTGCTTTTTATCACTTTAGCCCAGAAAGAGTCAGGCTCAGTTAAGAGTCTCCAGCACTGCTTAGCCAACAAAGCTAGGTTGAAATCATGCAGGTTTCGAAACCCCATGCCTCCTTCATGTTTCGGCATCCCCAAAGCCCGCCAGCTAATCCAATGGATCTTGTTTTTGTCCCCAGTATGACCCCACCAGAAATTGGCCAAAATACCATCAAGCTCACTGCAGAAACCCTTAGGAAATAGAAAAATTGACATGGGATAAGTGGGAATAGCAAGAGCAACAGATTTGATGAGAGTTTCCCTTCCAGCTTGTGAAAGAAGGCCTTGCTTCCATCCTTGAACTTTGCATAATAATCGATCCTTAACAAAACTAAGAGCATCCTTCTTGGATCTGCCCCACATGGTTGGAAGCCCAAGGTAACGGCCAGGGTCATCAGTATCCGTCATTCTCAAAATACCACAAAGTTGGTCTCGTAAATCATTAGGGGTATTAGGAATGAAAAAGATATTAGATTTCTCAAAGTTAACGAGCTGCCCGGAAGCACGACAATAGCAGTTCAAAATTCGGTCAAGAACCCGACAATTATGCTCAGTGGCCTTGAGAAAAAGGAGAGAGTCATCAGTGAAAAACAAGTGAGACAAGGTAGGTCCATCATTATTAAATTTGATACCATGGAGGAGATGATGATCAATAGCACAGTTGATCATGAAGAAAGCACATCACTGATAATGATGAAAAGGTACGGAGAGAGGGGGGTCACCCTGTCTGATACCTCGAGTAGGTTTGAAGCTGATACCAGGAGAACCGTTGACAATTACAGCAAACTCCACAGAGGTTATGCAACGCATCACCAAACTAATCCAGTCACCAGCAAAACCTAGTTTCTCAAGAACGGCAGCAACAAAGTCCCATTCAATCCGGTCAAAAGCTTTATTCATGTCGAGCTTGAGACCCATCTCAAAAATTTTTGTCTTCCTTCGAATTTTTAGGGAATGGAAAGCTTCATGAGCCATAAAAATATTATCTTGAATTTGCCTACCAGGAATAAAAGCACATTGTTGAGGAGAGATGAAGTTGCCCAGTAGGGGTTGGAGACGATTTGCAAGAATCTTCGATATTATCTTGTATGAGTAGTTACACAGAGAGATAGGCTTGAACTGAGAAACCTATTCAGGATTTGGGACCTTGGGGATCAAAGCAATTTCAGTTTTGTTTATAGCTATAAAGTTATCATGCCCAGCAAAAAACACTTTTCACCATACCACATACATCTTCTCCAATAATTCCCCAGAAATTATGGTAGAACACAACTGGGAAACCATCAGGACCAGGGGCTCGCAGAGCACCCATTTGAAAGGCAGCATCCTTAACTTCCTCCTCCGTGATTGGATAACAAAGAGTATCATTCATCTCAGCAGAGATGACAGGTGAAAACAAAGGCAAGAACGTCATCCCACGATCTAGGGCCATCAGTTTTGAACAAGCTTTTGAAATATGAGTCAATAGTGCTGCGAACATGCGTTTCATCAGATTCCCAATTTCCATCATGGTTGAGGATTCTGGTTATCTTGTTTCGCCGCCTACGTTGGGCAGTACAGTTGTGGAAGAAAGCAGTGTTAGAGTCACCCTCCTTCAGCCATTTGATTTTTGAGCGTTGCTTCCAAAACAGAGCTTCACGCTTCCACAAAGTGCTTAACTCAAAGCCAATTTGATTAATTCGAGAGCAATTTGCCGCCCAATTGCATTGTAGCATATCAAGCTCAGTTAAAAGCACCTCAGTTTGCTTCTTGCTATTCGAAAATTTGATCCTGCTCCAGGCTTTAAGGTCTCTGCTGCATCTTCTCAAATTTGTCCCCCAAGATGAGGAAGAGTTACAATTCAATATGTGACTCCCAATCCAGCTCCTGGCCACCACACCTTTGCAGTCAGGATCCCAAGCCCAAAATGCTTCAAATTTGAAAGGTCTACGAGTGGCAGGCTTAGCTGATTCTAGAGCCACCAGTAAGGGACATTGATCAGAGCCGAGCATAGGTAAGTGCGTAAGGAAAGTGCATGGCCACCTCTCTTGCCAAAGGATATTTATGAGCTCACGATCAAGCCATTCACGAATCAAAACACCATTAGTTCTTTTGCCACACCAAGTATAAGCCTGACCCTGAAAGCCCAAGTCAAGAAGCTCATTGGTGTTCATAAAGTCAGAGAGGTGACGACGTTGGGTCGGATAGAAAGCACGACCATCCTGTTTCTCAAAGGCCCAAAGAATCTCATTAAAATCTCCAATGCACAACCATGGCAAATTATTGGATGAGATGGAGGTAGTAAGCCACGTCCAGCATATATCTTTATCCTCACAGCAAGGGGTGCCATAAATCCATGAAGCGTGAAAAGAAGTACCATACCCCATCATGACCACCTTAGTGTCAATCAAGTTTTTAGAGAAGAGCAAAACATCAACATTTATAGAGTCATCCCACTAGAGGCAAAGTCCACCAGCACCAACGGGGTCAACATAGAATTCAGAAGTGAAACCCAAATCCTTACCAAGCTTAGTCAATCTATTGTGTTTTTGCTTGGTCTCCATTAGAAACACAATAGAGGGCCGATGTTTTTTAATGATCTCTTTCAGAGATCGAATTGTCAGGGCAGACCCTAGACCCTGACAATTCCACGAGAGAAAATTCATGGCGCCCCTGTGGCTGCATCTGGGCAGCCACGACCGCCATTGTTATTTGCTTCATATCC